ATTTGGGTCCTCTCTTTTCTCCTTTTTGAAAATAGGGACAACATTTGCCCTCCTCCAGTCTGCCGGGACTTCGCCTGTTCTCCAGGAATTCTCAAAGATGACTGCCAGTGGTTCTGAGATCACATCTGCCAGTTCTTTTAATACTCTTGGATACCCTTCTTCTTCTCAGGTTAAAAACTTAATTCGTTCCGGAGGTCCGTTCTTAACCTGAAACTGTTCTTAACCTGAAGCACCACCTTAGCTAATGGGGCCTCCTGCTGCCACTGTGTGATTTCTGTTCTCATCCTGAAGCAAAGTTCTTAACCCGAGGTACTATTTCTGGGTTAGCCAAGTCTGTAACCTGAAGTGTCTGTAACCTGAGGTACCATTGTATGTTTATTTACAATTAACATCCAGAGAGCGGCTCCGAACCTGCCGCTCTTAGGTATGAGTTGGTCACTCTGAGTCTCCGCCCCTTTTGCAGCACGAAGGGCGTCAAAGTCCAGTCCTTCCTTTCTTGTACTTCCGTTGCATTTTAACCCTTTCAGCTCTTCTGGTTTGGGGAGAAGGTGGGTGGACTCTCCCCCCTCAAATGAAGAGCCCTCTAAACGCTGCCTCCCTCCTGGTTGCAAAGCAACCCCCTCAATGCTGTCTGTCTCCTCCCTCTGCCTGTGAGTCTGCTGCTCTATCTGAGTCTGGGAACTCGTGATGAGGGGGGGAGGCCAAACTAACCCAATCCTGCTCTGTCTGTGACTGCATTCCCTTGTCTCCAGAGTCAGATTCTGGCTCCCTCTGTACTGGTATTCCTTCATCTCCAGAGTCAGACTCTTCCCAGACATTCGATTCAGCCACATCTCTGACAAGTACTAACTGTTGGTGGGGGCAGCTTCCTGGCCTCTGCTCTCCCTTCTGATACATTTCTGAACTTAAACTAGGCAATCCTAACTCTTTCCCTGCCAAAACTCTTAGAGTAGAAGCATCTGTAGAAGGCTGTTCAAATTGTCTAATACATTCACAGGAGAACAGGTGATACCCATAGGTGACTTTTATCCATGAGGATTTCAGTAACACAGCTTGACGTTAGTGCCAGTCAGCTGATAAGTGATGACCTGAAGCCCCACTTGGGACAGGGAGAGGCTGCACTGCTGAGTTCCCTATGGAGAGCCTTGCAGTGCCGCTGAGCCTGGTGGGCTTTCTCTCACCACCAGCCAGCAGATTGGGGGCAGCAGCAAGCCTTCCTTGCTGCCAATACACGGTTCAGGGCACACTTTAAGGCTCCTGGCCACACATGCACAGCTGCATTGCTACCTGCATCACTTGATATGACATATGACAGCAGGTGTGGGGCAGGTGGGTGTGATTTTAGGGAAATGGCCTTGGCCAAATAGGGACCCAGACTGGGACTTATTGGACCCATGGACTGGAGGTTCTCCACCCCTGCTCTAAAAGGACCAATATCTAAACAAAAACGGGAATGAACTGCACCTATCAGGGCACAATGCCCCTCTAATAATATACAAGAATTCTCATTACTCTCATTAATATTTTGAAATCCTTATTTTCTGCAGTTTTGATGTGTAAATTTTGGAATGTAGTCAAAACTGTTGCATACCTTCGTTCATATACGGCAGGGGTCAGCAAACGTTTTCAGCAGGGGGCCAGTCCACTGTCACTCAGACCTTGTGGGGGGTCAGACTATATTTTGTGGGGGGAAATGATGCAAGAGCACCTGTGGCTGCTTACCTGTGTCTTGCGAGCGGCAGGGGCTGGCGGCGGCGGCAGCGGGGGGGACGATGAGTGGCACATGAAAGGGCTCCAGAGAGGGGCTGCTTAAAATGGCGGCTGCTTGAGCTCTAGCACCAACAAAGCCCAGTCCCCTTCCTCCTCTAGGCAGGGTGGGGAGAAGCCAGGAGGAGGGAGGGAGGAGGCACCGCTGCCGCTGTGTGAGGGAGAGGGAAAGAACACGCATGCTGGTGATACACAAGGTGATTCCTGGACCGTCTGCGGGCTGGATCCAGAAGGCAATTGGGCCTGATCCGGCCCGCGAACCTTAGTTTGCCAACACATGATATACAGTAACCATCTTCTTGATCCACAAAAAATGTAGCAAACTTTTCAACAAATCTCAGGAACGCCCTTCCAGAGTGAATGAGCAGGGTCACTGACTTTTTGAACATACTTACACCCTTCTTTTTGCAAGTGGGATGGAATTGGAAAGTTATTAAGCATAATCTCTAATGCACAGCAGGCTCTGCTGTGAAACCCTGTGCTGTTTAGCTGGACTATCTAAGGATGTTTGATTCAAGTAAATTTTATAGCAGTGTCCTTAAAGGCAAGTTATGGCCTCTGTGAGATATCACAAAGCCACAGGAGAGCTTTGATTACAACATCCTTTAGCACACTCTTATGGTTTTATTTGATTTGTTACTAGGAAGATACTGTTTTTGACTGACAGTGTAAGAAGTGCTTTAAAAACCCCAGATTGGATTAATGTAGTACAAACTGGATACCAACTCTAGCCCACCTCCCAAGTTGGAAAATTGCATTTTGTGTCTGGGTTGCAGGACAGGAACACTGGAACACCTAATTTCCAGGTGCTTAGCTTAGTGGACATTTGCAGTGGTAGTGGAAATGGCATCACTATGAAGTCATGCCATATGTTTTGCAAACACTAGGAAGAAAAAGGAGGCATAGATTTGAGTTCACCACTTTGCGCATCAGCCAAAAGATATAGTTATCTGGTCATATAGCTGGTTGAGTGACCGAACCCAAAGAGTACTCATTAATGGCTAATCATCATCCTGGAAAAAAGTGGCAAGTGAGGTGCCACAGGGTTCTGTCCTGGGCCCATTGTTGCTCAACATCTTTATAAATGACTTGGATGAAGGAATTGAGGGGATGCTCATCAAATTTGCAGATGACACCAAACTGCGAGGAGTAACAGAATCAGAATTCAACATGAGTCTAACAGATTGAAGAACTGGGTGCAAGCTAACAAAGTGAATTTCAATAAGGACAAATGTAAGGTTATGCACTTAGGCAGGAAGAACAGATGCACAAATATAGGATGGGGGACATCTGGCTTACTAGCAGTAAATGTGTAAAGGATCTAGGGATCTTGGTGGACCACAAGCTTAACATGAGTCAACAGTGTGATGCAGCAGCAAAAACACTATTCTAGGCTGCATCAAGAGAAGTCTAGTGTCCAGATCAAGGGAAGTAATAGCACCAGACTACATCTGGAATACTGTGTCTAATTCTGGGCACCACAATTTAAGATGGATGCTGACAAACTGGAACGTGTGCAGAGGATGGCAACCAAGATGATCAAGGATCTGGAAACTAAGCCTTATGAGGAGCACTTGAAGGAGCTGGGTATGTTTAGCCTGGAAAAGAAGAGACTGAGAGGAGACAAGATAGCCATCTTTAAATATCTTAAGGGCTGTCACATGGAAGAGGGAGGATGCTTGTTTTCTCCTGCTCTTAAGAGGAAGGACCTGAGGCAATGGCTTCACATTACAAGAAAGGAGATTCTGACTAAACATCAGGAAAAACTTTCTGGCTGTAAGAGCTGTTCAGCAGTGGAACAGACTCCTATGAGAGGTGGTGGCCTCTCCTTCCTTGAAGGTTTTTAAGCAGAGGTTGGATGGCCTTCTGTCATGGATGCTTTAGCTGAGATTCCTGAATTGCAGGGGGTTGGACTAGATGACCCTTGGGGTCCCTTTCAACTCTAAAATTCTATGATTCTGTGATTCTACAGCCCATGCTTGTTTATTTGGAAGTAAGACAACCCAGTTCAAATGTATTTATTCCCAATTAAGTATGCATAGGCTTTGCAGCTTAGGGCATTTTTCTGTGCATTTAAACCCAGCTCCTGGTTCAAGAGAAGAAGATTGGGGAACATTAAATGCACAAATTGCATTAAATGCAGCAATTAAATGCACAAATTGTCATCTCATCTGTCCTCCCAGTTGAACGACGTGGCCCAGGGAGAGAGGGAAAAATAGTGGAAGTGAACAGCTGGCTTCGCAAATGGTGTAAACAGGAACGGTTTGGATTCTTAGATCACGGACTGCAGTTTATTGAAGTGATGGGCAAGTGATGGGCTGCACCTCACAACGGTTGGGAGGAATGTTTTTGCCAAAAATCTCAGAAACCTCATCAGGAGGGCTTTAAACTGACTAATGTGGGGGAGGGAGACAGTGCTCCTGAAGGTAGGAGTCTATCAATTGATGAAGATGATCATCCAAATGTCATAGACCAAATGGAGCAAACAGCACGCAGACCTAGTGGTGGGAGGAAAAAATCCTTAAATAAGAGACACGGGGGAATGAATAATGGACTTCAATGTCTGTACACTAATGCGCAAAGCTTGGGAAATAAACAAGATGAGCTTGAGCTCTTGGTACAGCAAACTAAATATGACATAATAGGCATCACTGAAACCTGGTGGGATAAGTCCCACGATTGGAATGTAATAATGGAGGGATACAATCTATTTCAGAGAAACAGACCAGACAAGAAAGGAGGAGGAGTGGCGTTATATGTCAGGGATGTGTATACCTGTGAAGAGATCCAAGATTTAGAACCTCAAAGCCAAAGTGAGAGCATTTGGGTCAAAATTAAGAGAGAGAAGAATAACAGTGACCTCATTGTGGGAGTTTACTATAGATCCCCAAGCCAAACGGAGGACATAGATGATGCCTTCCTGGAACAGATGGCCAAGCATGCAAAAGGAAGGGAGATAGTAGTAATGGGGGACTTCAATTACCCGGATATTTGTTGGATGTCAAACTCAGCCAAGAGCATAAGGTCAAACAGATTCCTCACTGGCCTTGCAGACAACTTCATTGTCCAGAAAGTGGGAGAAGCAACAAGAGGAACAGCCATTTTAGATCTGGTCCTAACCAATGTTGATGACTTGGTTAGTGGGGTAGAAGTGGAAGGATCATTAGGCGTGAGTGATCATGCTCTTCTGAAGTTTACTATACAGCGGAAAGGAGCAGCCAAGCATACTAGGTCTCAATTTCTTGACTTTAAGAAAGCCGACTTCATAAAACTTAGGGAAGTGCTGGGTGAGATCCCATGGACAGTAATACTAAAAGGAAAGGAGCTCATGATGGCTGGGAGTTTGTTAAGAGGGAGATAGTAAAAGCACAACTTCAGGCAATACCAATGAGATGGAAACATGGAAGGTGCCTAAAGAAGCCAGGGTGGCTATCTAAAGAACTTTTAACCGAGTTAAGATTAAAAAAGGATGTGTACAAAAAATGGAAAAGGGGGGAAACCACCAAAGAGGAATTCAAACAAATAGCCAGCACGTGTAGACACAAAGTCAGAAAAGCTAAAGCACAGAATGAACTCAGGCTTGCTAGAGAGGTTAAAAGCAACAAAAAGGCTTTTATGGGTATGTTCGTAGCAAAAGGAAGAACAAAGAAACAGTGGGGTCACTCAGAGGAGAAGATGGTGAAATGCAAACAGGGGACACAGAAAGGGCTGAACTCCTCAATGCCTTCTTTGCCTCAGTCTTCTCCGATAAAGAAAACAATGCCCGACCTGAAGAATTTGGAGCAAATGATTCAGCAGAGGAAACACAGCCCAGAATAACTAAGGAGATAGTACAAGAATACTTGGCTAGTCTAGATGTATTCAAGTCTCCAGGGCCAGATGAACTGCATCCAAGAGTATTAAAAGAACTGGCAGATGTGATCTCAGAACCACTGGCAGTCATCTTTGAGAATTCCTGGAGAACAGGCGAAGTCCCGGCAGACTGGAGGAGGGCAAATGTTGTCCCTATTTTCAAAAAGGGGGAAAGAGAGGACCCAAATAATTACCGCCCAGTCAGTCTGACATCAATACCAGGGAAGATTCTGGAGCAGATCATTAAGCAAACAGTCTGTGAGCACCTAGAAAGGAATGCTGTGATCACCAATAGTCAGCATGGATTTCTGAAAAATAAGTCATGTCAGACTAACCTGATCTCATTTTTTGACAGAATTACAAGCCTGGTAGATGAAGGGAACGCAGTGGATGTAGCCTACCTTGATTTCAGCAAGGCATTTGACAAGGTGCCCCATGATATTCTTGTCAAGAAGCTGGTAAAATGCGGTCTTGACTATGCTACCACTCAGTGGTTTTGTAACTGGCTGACTGACCGAACCCAAAGGGTGCTCATCAATGGTTCCTCTTCATCCTGGAGAAGAGTGACTAGTGGGGTGCCACAGGGTTCTGTCTTGGGCCCGGTCTTATTCAACATCTTTATCAACGACTTGCATGATGGACTCAAGGGCATCCTGATCAAATTTGCAGATGACACCAAACTGGGAGGGGTGGCTAACACCCCAGAGGACAGGATCACACTTCAAAACGACCTTGACAGATTAGAGAACTGGGCCAAAACAAACGATGAATTTTAACAGGGAGAAATGTAAAGTATTGCACTTGGGCAAAAAAAATTGAGAGGCACAAATACAAGTTGGGTGACACCTGGCTTGAGAGCAGTACATGTGAAAAGGATCTAGGAGTCTTGGTTGACCACAAATTTGACATGAGCCAACAGTGTGACGCGGCAGCTAAAAAAGCCAATGCAATTCTGGGCCTCATCAATAGGAGTATAGCATCTAGATCAAGGGAAGTAATAGTGCCACTGTATTCTGCTCTGGTCAGACCTCACCTGGAGTACTGTGTCCAGTTCTGGGCACCACAGTTCAAGAAGGACACTGACAAACTGGAACGTGTCCAGAGGAGGGCAACTAAAATGGTCAAAGGCCTGGAAACGATCCCTTATGAGGAACGGCTAAGAGAGCTGGGCATGTTTAGCCTGGAGAAGAGGAGGTTAAGGGGTGATATGATAGCCATGTTCAAATGTAGAAAAGGATGTCACATAGAGGAGGGAGAAAGGTTGTTTTCTGCTGCTCCAGAGAAGCGGACACGGAGCAATGGATCCAAACTACAAGAAAGAAGATTCCACCTAAACATTAGGAAGAACTTCCTGACAGTAAGAGCTGTTTGACAGTGGAATTTGCTGCCAAGGAGTGTGGTGGAGTCTCCTTCTTTGGAGGTCTTTAAGCAGAGGCTTGACAACCATATGTCAGGAGTGCTCTGATGGTGTTTCCTGCTTGGCAGGGGGTTGGACTCGATGGCCCTTGTGGTCTCTTCCAACTCTATGATTCTATGATTCTATGATTCTATGATTCCTTGGGCAGAAAGACGCTACTAGAATTTGATGTGTCCAGCAGCACACCCAGCACACTCAGACATTGCTCTCATGGTTTATTATAATGTTAACAAACTCATTCAATGTATTTAATTCACAGTTAGCCATTATTTATTCTCTCCGTATGCATTGTGTGTTTATGTTCTACATGTATATTTATATATATTGCTATTCACCAGGTTCATAAAATATCTTCTAAGAGAGTAGATGTGAGTCTGACCCAGATGTAGAAGAGAGGAAATGTTTCATATCTCAAGGAGTGCCTTATGTGCACCCTAGACAGCACCTCCCCCTTGTGTACCAGACGTACAACTTAATGGTTTTAAAAATTAGAACATCTGCTTTGCTTAGAATTTATTACCTGCTGTGCGTAATGAGTGGAATTTTAACACACAATTAATGAGGCTGCTTCTTGGCAGGTTAGAGAAGTTTGCCTTTGTTTTAGTACCACATTCAAGGTGCAAGGATAATTTTATGAGATATCAAGTTTCTGATCTGTTATGTATTGCTAGTTGCAGTTGCCTGGAGCAGAGGGGAGGGTGTGTAATTAGTATACCGGTATATTGATGGGCGATTTGCATTAGAGTGGCAAGGATTTCTGACTACCAATGTTTAATAGCAGCAGCAGGGAGCCAGCCCTACCATTGGGCAGAAGATGGGGTGGCACTGCCTACCTTGACTCCTGCCAGTGCTCCTGCCACTGTGACTGCCCTGCCGCCCTGCCAGGCACTACTGCTTCACCTCACTGTCCTATGGACCACAGGTTTAACTGGGGTTTTAGGGTTTAATTAGGATTGAGGGGCCATGCTCAACCCTAATTTCTACTATAAGGCATCCTGGCATCTTTGACTGGTGCTGGTGCCAACCCTGCCCAGGTATTGTGGTTGCGCAGCCTCTGCTGTCTCTGTCATGCCCTCCTCTCTATATGATCTCATATAGGCTTGCAATGGAAGCAGTGGGGGCAAGCAGGATAGGGTGACAGCATATCTGCAACTGGCGTTTGAAGGGAATTTCAGCTGCTCGTTAATTACTCTCTTTTTTCATCATTAGGAACTGCAATGGATTCCCCTGAAATGTAACAATAATGCACCTTGTTCTTTGTTCCTCTATCTCTTAAGCTGTTTATTAAAAGAAGTACTATAAACTATTGCTATTTTTTTGTTTTAATAACCCCCTGCTAAACCCTCAATGTTTCTATAATCTTGCCATTCAGAATTATCTATCATTTACTCTGTTTTTCAGGCACTCAACAGGAATTATTACAGTTAAGGCTCTCTAGCCACACACTATGTGTGCCAGATTAACATGCTTGTAATAAGAAAGTAAATGAAGTCAAATACAATGGGGTACTTTCATATTTTAAATGAGAACCTTTGTCTTTTTTTTAAGCAAGTTGCTTATGCAAAGCAGTAAACTTTCAAAATATAACAAAAAATAGAAATGGATAGAAACCCTTTTAGCCCAGCAGGTCAGATCCTTATCTACCCCACCCCTGGGGGACCATTTTGACATGTTGTCCAGGTCACACATCTATCAATCACTTGAAATCACTATTACGTCAGATAACCCACTTTCCCTTTGCTGCAAAGGAAAATCTCAGCTAATCCAAACAGGGCTTGGAAGTCACTGCAAAGGAAGATCCCAGCTTTACGGCTTGCCTTGTGTGGCTGCACCCTGGGCAGCGCATCCTTGGCAAGTTCGGCACCTGCTGCATCCCAGCCTGTGAATGCAAGAGGGTTGGGGTTGCCTGCTTTGTGGGCAAGTTGTGGTGCCAACTGCAGACCTAACTGGAGGAAACTGATTATCAAGTCCAATTCTAGTCTGGATTCAGACCTGGGTTTGGGAATGAGTCAGTCTTTGGGAGCAGCAGGGGGATACAACCCTGAAGCTTGTGCTCATGCTTCAGTTTTTGATACTATCTACTGCTGCACTGTCTATGAAAGATGAGTATTGCAGGCATGGCTTTGCAATCTAGGAAGTCGTTTTTCTCAGCCTACTGGCTTTTGAGCAATGGGGTCCTGCACGGCCCTAAATCGTCTTCAATGCTATTGAAGTTGTTGGGAGCAATCATTAGGAGCAAGGTGACATTAACATGTTAATGATATCAAATTCTAATTCTCTGTAACATCTGAATTAGAAATGGCTGAGAAGGCCCTAGGCTATGGATGGGATGGAAATTTGGTTCAGTCTGGGTTTAAAGCCAAATTTATCAAATTCACATTTTCCAAAACAATATGAGAACCAAAACATAGCCTTATTTCAAAATTCACGCTTAAATTTTGCAAAGCAGCTCTCCATGCAGCCAGTGTTTACAAAAATGCATGTATCGGGTAAAAGCATGCTTAAAAGTGGATCTATTGGTGAAAATAATGTACAAAAGTGTATTATATTGCAAGAAACTGCTTGTAAAAGCGCATACATTGGACAAAACTGTTTATCAGGTGAAATTCACCAAAATGCTTAAGAATTTTCACGAGGGCTTTTAAAAAGAAAATTAGCAGATTACTGCAGAAATGTTCAGACCCACATTTAAGACCAGAAAGAATAAGAAACAGAGAGAGCCAAACTTAACAGATCCTTCTATCCCTTCCCTGTCTGGATGGGGGCAAATGAACTGGGTTTGAATGCTGCCAAGATGGAATCTCTTGTTGGGATTTGATTAGATGCTAGGAGAGGATATATTTAGTATATATTATCCTTCCTTTCTCATGATTGTCAGTTCAGCAGAGTGCTATCCCTTTGCAGCTTAAAGGGAAGCTAAAATAGCCTTTTAGTTTAAGTAATTCAGGATTCTTTAAGGCAGACTGGATTTTCCTTTTCTCCCCCTTAAAATAATAATTACAATATTGTAAAAGTAAAAAAATAAAATAAAAATTTGCTCACTCAGAATATGTCTTGAAGAGTAACAGGTACAGTAGCTTGATGCAGGCAGGCTTACAATGGTAAGCTTAAAAATGGAGCCTGAATATGGATGTTTGGGGAAGGGTGAATTTATCAATTTGAGGAAGAGTTTCAGTTATGAAAATGAATGTATTGCCAAGAAAGTTATTCTTATTTCAAACAATACCCGTGGTCAGAGGAGTGGGACACTTCAAACAATGGCAAAAATACATTTCTAAATTTATCTGGCAGGGGAAGAAACCAAGCATTAAATATAAATTATTAGCAGATACAAAAAAAGAGGTGGCTTCTCTTTGCCAGATTTGAAATTATATTATGAGGTGTCATGTCTCTGCTGGCTTCGGGAATGGACAACTTTAAAAAATACAGATATCTTGGAGCTTGAGGGTCACGATAATAGATTTGGTTGGCATGCATATTTATGATATGAGAAGACCAAAGTGCATGAAGGGTTTTTGAATCACTTGGTAAGAAAAGCAATTTATGGTGTATGGGAAAAATGTAAAAACCTGTTAGAGCAGAAGACACCATGGTGGCTTTCCCCAGTGGGAGTGATATCCCTGAAAATAACTAATGCAAAAAGTGAATGGGCAACC